GGCGGGGCTTAGAGTAGCCACAATAACATCACAGAGAAAGTGAGACGCTCCTCTTATTTCATGTTTATCACTCATTTCAGTTTATCTCCTTTTATTTGTAATATTTCCCATATTATTTAAACGATCCATGAATAATGTAAAAAAGAATGTTTTTGTGCTAACGTTTTGAGAACATTTTTAAAAACCATGAATGAACATTCTATTAACGTTACTAGAAGAACGTTGAGAGAACCTTGCCAGAACGTTCTGAATGTGTTCCCTGTTAGCTGGGTTTTTTCGTTATCTTAATAAAGACAGTTATTGAGTGAAGTCCCGCAGGGATCCAAACTCTGATTAAAGTGATCCTTGTGAAGAAACTTCTCTTTTGGACGGAGATTTGGGGGTCTGAACCCAGATTACAAGCATTAGATTGATGCGTCTCCTCCCTCTGTTTCGCCTCACTGGTCACTAACTATCAGAATAAAACCCCCTGCCCAACACCCGGCCTGCTCCCAACCCCCTCCCGTGACCCTGACGGGCGGAGGTCAGCAGTAATTAGCCGTTTTTAAATGACAGACTGGGAAAAAGGAGACAAGCAGGCTGGTATCCATGGAGCAGCTATTAAAATGGTAATGAGCCGATAGATTGTGCTGCAATGCTGTCAGGACGACTATCCCAGCAGCCTTCAGTCGCTTCAGCTGATTGTCCGTGAATATTCTTAGTAATCAAGATGGTTGTAGAATGATAAACATGATGCACAGTATGCAGTGTGTGCGACACAATAGTCTACTGAGAGACATTAGTACTTCAGTGTCGTTTAGTGAAGCCATAATGACTGTAAATGAGCCTAATGTCTGGATGTGTGAAACACAATACACTAATTCTGAGTCATTAGGAGTTAATGATGCACTTCCAAAAATGCTTTAAAATGTGCAATGTGTAAATTAAATAAATATTTGCTCTAATATCAAGAAGGGTTTTATTAATCACACAACAGCAATCAGTAATGATTAGGATTTAAATGAGGTGTTTGGAAAGTTGATCTGATTTTCTCTTGCACCATTGCATGCTCTTCCGATCTTTCATTCAGTCATTCTCCCAAATGCATGCACCAATGTTTTGGATCCAATGTGAGAAAGAGCACATTTTTTTAATGCTTAAGATTTTTTTTTTTTACTAAGTAGTCATAATTAGCTGTGAATAAAACAGTAGACATCTGTGGTATGTCCTCATTCAGATAAGTAAACGCATGTGTGGCAGCTGCTGTGGACAGAATCCAAGTTGAAACAGAAGGAACGTTTGAATCAACAAGATAAAAAAAAAACTTTGTATTGTGTCTAATGAAATCGCAGTGCTGTAGCAGTGTAAAACTTCCCTGTTTAATTAGTACGGTGTCTGAGAAGCGTAACCAAGGCGACAGGGCTTGGCAGCACTTCATCTGAAGTTGGCATGGACACAAACTCTGAAGCTTATTTACTTCAAACACTTTGTTGTTTAAAGAGGTTTACTGATCTGTTGAATTATAACTGAAAACTTTATTGCTCAGAAGTTGCAAGAGTTTTAATGGAGTTCTTATTAGCATATTTTTGTCTCATTTTACACTTCAAATTCATTAGGAGAAATAAAAACTAAACACAAGTCAATCGTGTCGGTGTCGTTTATGAGAAACAATTAGGATATTAAAGGAATATTTCACACAATGATAATTTGCTGAAATTGTACTCACCTTCAGGCCATCCAAGATTAGGATGAGTTTGTTTCTTCATCAAATTTGGAGAAATGTAGCATTGCATCAGTGTCTCAGCAATGGATGCTCTGCAGTGAATGGGTGCCGTCAGAATGAGAGTCCAAACAGCTGATAAAAACATCACAATAATCCACAAGTAATCCACAGCACTCCAGTCCATCAGTTAACATCTGGAGAAGACAAAAGCTGAAACAAATCCAGCATTAAGGTGTTTTTAACTTTAAACCGTTGCTAAAATATGAGTCCATAATCCATAATAACGCTTCCTCAAAAATAATCTGGTCTGAATCAGGAGAGAAATCTGCACAGATCAAGTACCGTTTACAAGCCAAAACAGTCCAAAACACCAATTTTGGTGTGAGAGACAACAGGAGATGGACTTTATCACTGGAGGAAGCGTTATTATGGATTATGGACTGATATTTTGACTGGAAACAATGGTTTAAAATAAAAAAACACCTTAATGATTGATTTGTTTCTTACAAACACGCAGCTTTTGTCTTCTCCAGATGTTAACTGATGGACTGGAGTGCTGTGGATTACTTGTGGATTATTGTGATGTTTTTATCAGCTGTTTGGACTCTCATTCTGACGGCACCCATTCACTGCAGAGCATCCATTGCTGAGACACTGATGCAATGCTACATTTCTCCAAATCTGATGAAGAAACAAACTCATCCTAATCTTGGATGGCCTGAAGGTGAGTAAAGTTTCAGCAAATTTTCATTTTTGCCTTTTAGTGAGATCTTATTTGTGATTTAGGCCTAAGTACGATGAAAACACCCTTGGTTCTTGCAACCAATCAAATCATTCAGTCAAGCAGTCAGAAAATCAAATCAGTTATTTTGTTTAAATCAACCAATTAAACAAGCCAATTTAAGTGTGTGTGTGTGTGTGTGTGTGTTTGTCAGTAGCTGTTTGACAGATGTCTCCTCAAACACATCATAAATCTGAGCTTGTTGGCGAGTTAACCCCCCTCAACCCATATATATCTTTAGACCCATAAGCCTCCAGTGTGTGTGTGTGTGTGTTTGTTGTGGTTGCATTAGAGTGCTTGTCAGAAATATAGTTGTTTTCTGGGAAGGCTGCCGGGCTGCTTGTGGGTTCATGCGTCTCAGAGCAACAAAACCACAACATCTCTCTCGCTCACTCTCTTCATACAGATGCAGTTTTTTCTTAAAAATTAGTGGAATGTTTCTGTATGATTGAAACGCGGCTGCTGCTTTGATTTCAGCTAGTAGCGTGGTTTGTGTGGTCTGCGTGTGTGAAGCTGAAGTTTGCCAAGCAACAAACTACTCATAATTTAAAGTTGTTGAACTACAGCCAAGCAGCCCTTTTAGCACTAAGCTCTTCACAAAGGCTGACTAAATACAGTGAAGTTATTTAAAGGGACTGTATAGGGTGAATTGATGTAAAAAACAACAACAACAAAAAAAACACTATACTATTTGTCATTCTCAGTGTAAAAAAAAAGTACGCTTTTACCTTTTCACTTTCTCACCAGTGGATGCTCTGCAGTGAATGGGTGCCGTCAGAATGAGAGTCCAAACAGCTGATAAAAACATCACAATAATCCACAAATAATCCAAATCCATCATTAAAATGTTTTAACTTTAAACCATTGCTTCCGGCTAAAATACGAGTCCATAATCCATAATAACGCTTCCTCCAGTGAAAAAGTCCATCTCCTGTTGTCTCTACCATCGAAATCCACACACATATTTGTTTAGAGCTGTTTTGGACTGTTTAAACGGTGCTTGATCTGTGCAGATTTCTCTCCTGATTCAGACCAGATGACTTTTTCACTGGAGGAAGCGTTATTGTGGATTATGGACTCGTATTTTAGCAACGGACTTTGGACTCTCAACGGAGTTTGGACTCTCATTCTGACGGCACCCATTCACTGCAGAGCATCCATTGCTGAGACACTGATGCAATGCTACATTTCTCTCCAAACAGCTGATAAAAACATCACAATAATCCACAAGTAATCCACAGCACTCCAGTCCATCAGTTACCATCTGGAGAAGACAAAAGCTGAAACAAATACAGCATTAAGACACTTTTAACTAAAATGCGACTCCATAATCCATAATAACGCTTCCTCCAGTGAAAAAGTGCATCTGCTGTTGTCTCTCACATCAAAATCCAGCCACATATTTGTTTAGAGCTGTTTAAACGCTGCTTGATCTGTGCAGATTTCTCTCCTGATTCAGACCAGATGACTTTTTCACTGGAGGAAGCGTTATTGTGGATTATGGACTCGTATTTTAGCAACGGACTTTGGACTCTCAACGGAGTTTGGACTCTCATTCTGACGGCACCCATTCACTGCAGAGCATCCATTGCTGAGACACTGATGCAATGCTACATTTCTCCAAATCTGATGATGAAACAAAATCATCTACATCCTGGATCTATTCCTTAACTAAATATTTTGCTATAAAAAAGAAGAATGGACAAATTAATCAGTGAATCATTTATTTTGATTCAGTGCATTCAACCATCTGTAAGAACCGATTGAATCAACAGGAAAGTAGTGTTTTGTTGGAGAAAAAACTGACTAAAAACTTTTCACACTGGTTGTGACTAACGCTCAGCGATGTGATGTTTTCCAGGTTTCTATTCTGCTGAGTGCAAATTCCACCCCCTCACTGGGGCGTTATACATGCGGCCATATCTCAAAATACACACACTGCCACTGTGTGTAGACGTCTGAACTGCAGTCATGTGCACACACAATAATGTGTGTTGTTATTCAGTGTGTGGGAGAGTATTTGTGTTGTAGTGTGTGTGTGTAATGTGCCCTCCGGGTATGTTGTGTGTCTGTGTGTGTTATGGTCAGTATGTTCTCTAGCAGGACAATGGAGACAGGAAATGTCTTCTTGGCGATTGGAAGGGAGTTGCTATGCAGTTTTGTATGTGTGTGTGTGGTCTCTGATGCTCAATAGGAAATCCTCCATAATGAAGTATGGGTCAGTAAGAACATGGATTGTTGTTAATTTTGTCTGCTGGTGGTTTTGTTTGTTTATCAGACTTAATTAAGAGACCTTTAATCTAAAATTCTTACTTCAGTACATTTGAAATGATTCCATATCTCATAATGGAATCAAACCAGCATGAGGTCATATAAAGTCAACATAAAACAAACCATTTTACTTCCATTATGTGATGTATTTCCAAATAAAACAGCATATACGATGTGACAAAAAAACAAAAAAACATGAATTTTAATTGCATTTTTTAAAAACCTTTTTATCCAACTGAATTATAGTATACAAAAATCAATGGACATCCATCAGTCATCCTCGGATTTGAACCAGTGACCTTGCTGACCCTGATCCTGAACCATTAGGCCACAGATGACTGCCTTCAGCAAATAAGAAACACATCTGTATGTGGAGGTCTGCAGATCCAGGTGCATGCTGGGAAAGCGGAGCTTAAAGTAAAGGTATGTTTCAAACTATTATATTCATACTATTAATAAAGTATGTATTTACTGTATGCATGCAACATTCTACATTTGCCAACTTGTGCACTATACAAAAAGGGCATTATGTGATAAATTATATCCCACGATGCACTGCGGCTCAAACTGATGTTCCATGAATATCAACCGCAATGTCGTTTTTGACTCATTATTTGGTCTGACTGCAAAACATGTATATATTTACTCAAAATTGGATTAAGTGTTTTATTTTGAGGTTATAATTGCATGTCACTTGTTGAATTAAAAATGCCACAAACTGTGGTCATGTGACAATGACAGCATACTACAGTTTAAAACATTTAGGGTTGTATACTGTTTCATATACTATTATTTAAGTATGCAGTATATGTCCTTTTGTAGTACTTACCTCCCAAAATCTGCTCAGATTAATTTGGATGAGCAATTTGAAAATGATAAACAGATTTTTTTTAGTTGTCTCTAATTGATGGATTTAACTCAAGGATGTCATTATGAAATTAAAGTTGGCGTTAGTGGCCAGACAGAATGAGGTAAGCACCTGTTTATATGCACCAGGCGCTGCGATTGGTCAGATGTATATACTCCACCTCCAAAATTCGTTAGGAATTCCATTAGCGAGCACAGACTTTGAACATGCAGAAAATGATCCTTAAAGTGCCCCTATTATGGGTTATGAAAGGTTCATATTTAGGTTTTGGGAGTCCCCAACAACAGGTTGGCATGCATGCAAGGTCAAAAACACTTTCATTGTCTTATAATATGCATTTATTTTTACCTTACTTGCTCAACGACTCCCAAACGATTCGCTCAACGATTCATTTTTCCAAACCCCTCCTTTGCGTTATGCTAATCTGCGGTGATTGGTCAGATTGGTCTCATTTTCATTTCATCTCGCCTGATAAAGCAGCGTTTGTGAGCGTTGCTTTGTGTACAGCCTTTACCGGGGAAACCGCTATTTTAACCTCTCCAAAAGCGGCACCTAGTGGCAAAGAATGAATTTGCATTTTCATTCAGACCAAAGCTAAAAGACCAACAAGTGGGCGGGCAATATGCTAATGTTTCATGTTGATGTCAACATTAAAGGGGTCATATGAT